TTTTTTAATGAAAGTTTTTTTCTTATTAGCCATGTGTGTTATTGGTCAGTATATTTCTGTTAATGATGAATTATGTTTGTGTTGGTCAGGTGTTCTTCAAGGCCAAGTCCAAGTTTTCTCCTCATCTGCTGAGATACAAGTGAGTACCAGAGGTCTGTGTGTGTGTGTGTGTAGATATAAAGACCCGTAGCCAAGGGAGGGTTCAGGTCGTTCGAAAGACCCATCCCTCACTGAGAAAAGTTCAGAACTTGTCCCATACAACAGCTCATTTGTCCTATTTTGCTATGCCATAACAAATTGAGAAAATAACCCATCAAAAAAGGCTTTAACACCAAGTGGAATCCTGTGTTGGCTGTCGCTTCAGCGTGACTCAGGAAAGTTGAATGTGCTGGCCAGTTTGCTTTTTTAAACTAATGATATTTAAATGACAAAAGGCTACAGTTCTTAATTTAAAACTTTAACATATTCCTATTTTTTTCGAATGATATACGATGTAATTGATGTATATATGATGTACAGTTGATGTCAGAATTATTAGCCCCCCTTTGATTTTTTTCTTTCTTTTTAAAGGATTTTACAAATGATGTTGAACAGAGCAAGAAAATATTCACAGTATGTCTTATAATATTTCTTCTTCTGGAGAAAGTCTTATTTGTTTTATTTCTGCTAGAATAAAAGCAGTTAAAAATGTTTTAAACCCCATTTTAAGGTCAATATTATTAGCTTCCTTAAGCTACATTTTTTCCCGATAGTCTTCGAAACAAATCACTGTTACACAATAACTTGCCTAATTACCCTAACCTGCCCAGTTAACCTAATTACCCTGCTGAATAGAAGTGTCTTGAAGAATATCTAGTCAAATATTTTTTACTGTCATCATGGCAAAGAGGAAATAAATCAGTTATTAGAGATGAGTTATTAAAACTGTTATGATTAGAAATGTGCTGAAGAAAATCTCTGTTAAAAAGGAATTGGCGGAACAAATAAACAGGGGGTGAATAATTCTGACTTCAACTGTATGTGATGTAAATAATAACTGATATCAATCTTTAGGAAATGGTTTTGGTGCATCAAAAAGTGTGGTTATGATGACCATACAACAAGCTAATCCAGATAAAAATAGTGCTTGAAGTGTAACTAAAATGCGGGATTTAAATGTCATAATTAAACAGGAAATGAGGTGAATAATTGCAAAAAGATCCACTTTTGAAGAAAAAAGAACCACACTTTCACCAGGCTGACTACAGGCCTGACATATGTGTGTGTGTGTGTGTGTGTACACTACCTGACAAAAGTCTTGTCGCCTATCCAAGTTTCAGGAACAGCAAGTAATAACTTGACTTCTAGTTGATGATATGGTGTCAGAAGTGTCTCTATGAAAGACGAAGGCCTCTAGATTTTGCTTATTTGAGCTCAATAAACTCTGATCATGTCTTGATGTTGACTGATTTGATTAGGACAGTGCGGTCTGACTCTGCTTAGACTAAAGTCTCATCACTGAACAGAAATAATGTCCAGTATAGAATATAAAGTCCTGCTGCAGTGGAGACAGAATGAATATTGTGTCTGACTCCATCATGAGCTTGGAGGACTGCATCCATACATCTCTGACATGACTCAAATCACTGATTAATAAAGTCATCTGGAATGAAGAAGAAAGCCTTCAGCAGGACTCCCAGAGTTCATCAAGAGTCTTTAGATTCATCTCCAATGCCTCCTCTATCTTACTCCAGACATGCTCAATAATGTTCATATTTGGGGACTGGGCTGGCCAGCTTCTTTGCTTTCAGGAGCTTTGATGTGAAGGCTGGAGTATGAGCAGGAGCGCTATCCTGCTGGAGAATTGTCCCTCTCCTGTGGTTTGTAATGTAATGGGCAGCACAGATGTCTTGATACCTCAGTCTGTTGATGTTGGAGATCTCTCGCACACCCCCATACTGAATGAACCCCAAACCATGATTTATCCTTCACCAAACTTGACTGATTTCTGTGAGAATCTTGGCTCCATGCTGGTTCCAGTAGGTCTTCTGCAGTATTGGTGATGATCGGGATGCAGATCAGCAGATAAATCCTGACACTTTTCCAAATGATCAACTAGAAGTCAATTCGTTGCTCTTATAACCGGGGTCGATCACAAGACTTTAGTCAGGAAGTGTATGTGAGTGTGTGTTGATGAATGTATGCGTGTTGACCTGTTCTCCGTCTGCAGGTCTCCTCTGTATGTGCTGTTCTTCGGGGTCAGCCTGCTGTTTCTGCTGGTCAATCTCAGTTGTGCGCTGCTGGTGAAGATGACCGACACTCCAGTTAAGAGTGTGGTTCTGGTTCGCGTCGCCATCAACGATTCGCTCTTTGTTCTCTGCGCCGTGTCTCTCGCCGTCTGCCTGTACAAAGTGGCCAAGATGTCCATCGCCAGCATCTACCTAGAGTCCAAGGTGAAGACACACACGTTTACATGAGTTATTTTCTCTTTGTCATGATGACAGCACATAATAGTAGACTATATATTCTTCAAGACACTAGTGTTCAGCTTAAAGTGACATGTAAAGGCTTCACTAGGGTAATTAGGGTAAAGCTAGGGTAATTAGGCAAGTCATTGTATAACAGTGGTTTGTTCTGGAGACAATCCAACACTAATATTGCTGAAGGGGTTAATAATATTGAGCTTAACATGAGTTTAAAACAATTAAAACTGCTTTTATTCTAGCCGAAATAAAACAAATCAGACTTATATTAAAGGAAATACTGTGAAAAACTAAATAAAACACTTACCTAAAGTGTGTGTGTGTGTTCCTCAGGGCACATCTGTGTGTCAGGTGACCGTGATCGGGCTGCTGGTGATCCTCCTGTACTCCTCGAGGGCCTGCTACAATCTGGTGGTTTTGTCCCTGACAGACGTCCAGAGTATAAACTCCTTCGATTACGACTGGTACAACGTGTCAGATCAGGTGAAGATCAGCAGCTCTCCTGAAACACACACTGATAAACACTACAACTGATGGCAGATATATAATCAGTGTGTGTGTGTGTGTGTGTGTGTGAGTGTGTGCTTGTCTGCTTGTGTCAGTCTATGTCGCTCCTGTCGCTGTTCATCTTAGGCTGCTTTCACACCTACACTTTTGTTTGGGAACGTGTCTCGTTTGCCCAGTTAGCGCGGTTCGTTTGGCATATGTGAACAGGGCAATCACGCTCTGTTCTGCGCCACAGTAATCGCTCCGAGATCGCTTGAATGAGGTGGTCTCGGCTCGATTGAAATGAACCCTGGAGCGGTTTGATTACAGTGAGAAAGCGATCCGATCCGAGCGCGGTTATATCACAGTGTTTTATGGATATGTAATAGGCTTACGGCTATATGAAGAGAGAATTATGAGTAGGGCGGGAAGTTTCGCGAGTCTCCGGATGCCCGCAAACGAATGATGATCTCCCGGTAATCTCGCGTCTCCCTCCCGGTCCTCAAATAGGCATCGTCGCGCACCCTTCTCACCCCTCCCCACCGCATCTACCTCAGACACGTCACGCGCACACCCTGTCAATCACCACCAAACCACCACCTCTCCTGACAGCTGAGCTCTGCAAAATAAACCCTGACACCCTGACCAATGTGAGGAGAGTTTACTCACACGTGACTTGTTTTAGCTCTTTTGGTCCGATTAGAAACTTTGCAGTGTGAAAGCGAACCGCTCCAAGAGCAAAGAGCAACAATGTAACAATTGTAATCTCTGTTTCAGAACAACTGAATCCATTCACAGGTGTGAACGCACCCTAAAACTCCACATCTATAATCCTCTTAGTCTATGCTGACATTATCTTCAGCAGCTCAAACACTCTAATGGCTAATGCACAGACGACTGCTTCTCACTCAGGGCTGCTGTTTATGCTAATGAGATGGAGAGATGGGCACTAGTGGGCGGGGCTTTCCCCCTTGTATGACACGTACAAAAGGGAGAATGTCAATCTGGAGATGCTCACACACTGCTGACACACACACACACACACCTCTTATAAAGGTGATTTCTGCATAATAGGCGCCTTTTGAAGGAACAGAAAACTTTAGACATTTAACACTGCTTCCTGTAGTGTTATTTCTAAAAGTGTGTGTGTGTGTGTGTGTGTGTGTGTGTGTGTTGTGCAGGCGGATCTGCGCTCCAGTCTGGGAGACGCGGGTTATGTGGTGTTCGGGGTGATTCTGTTCATCTGGGAGCTGCTGCCCACATCACTGGTCGTGTTTTTCTTCCGCGTCCGCAAACCTGCACAGGACCGGGTGAGTCGCACACACACTCTCCCTCACACACACAGGCTGGTTTTTGTGAATAATGAGGATTCTCCACAGGTATAATGTATTTTAAATAGGGCTGTCAATTGGTTTAAAAAAATAAATAATTAATCACACTTTTGTTTGTAATTAATCATGATTTAATCACAAAAAGCAGTGTTTATTACAGGAATAAAAACACAGGTATGTTAGTGCCGCTTGAATTTCAAAACAATCAATGCCAATAACAAACAAAAATAATTTCCATGATGGATTTTAAGTGGACTATAAAAAAATCCAAAATACAGGCATTGCAGATATGGGGTCCGTTCTTCGTAGCTTGCTTAGATGATTTGGCAGATCCAGGATCTGTTAATCTTGATAACTGATCTCTGGCTAATTTGGTTCTTCAAACAAGTTCATGAATCAGATTAGAATGTCTGGATGAACTGATCTGAGATCGCTGCATGTGTTGTAAAGGACAGATCTGTTAATCCTCAAAATCATGATCAGCAATGCAGCGATTGGCTGATGGCAAAGCAGTGTGATGACGTCATCTGATTAAAATTCAATCATCCATGTGAGCAGAATTACATCAAATTAGCAGTAAACGGTTTGTTAAATATGACACGCTATAACTACACATTTGTCATGAGCTGCAGGCGCTGCACTTTCATGTGTCAGAGTGTTCATCACGCGTCTTTATTAAGAGGAGACTAAAGTGAATCCAGATCTCAGCGTTTGCAGATGAGAACAGCTCTCAGGTAAACAATAATCCTCCTTAGACACGTAAGTTATTGTTGTGGAGCGTCGCGTACACTGTTAATCCACACGTGACTCCAGCTGCGCTCTCACAGAGAGAAAATGAAAACAAAACTTCACTGCAGCAAACTATAAAAGCAACACTTCACGCTTGTTTCGCCAACACAACGTGGCGTCTCTGTCGTCTAAACACTGTGACAGTAATGAATATTAATGAAGGTGCACAATAGAGCGCGCTGATTGGTTTGAACCAAGCTTTACTCATGCATTAATGCAGCACACTGTAAGACGTAATAAGACACACTCTGGCACAGACGTCCAGTCTGCACGCTGGAATACACACTATTATGTCATGACCGTGACGCAGCTTCAACAATTCGTTTCAAACCGGAAGAACGAATTTGCTTGAAATAACGCAAAAACAACCAATTTACACTTTTTAGTGAAATATAGGTGTCCTAATAGTGTTTTTAGCAGTGTGGGACACATATACCACTGCCAACAGCTCAACACGTGTGTTTTGTGACCCTTTAAACAGTTAAGAAACGCCTATTATATGGCCCTCCGCCCCCCCTTAACCTAAACCTCACAGCAAACCTGTGGCAACATTTAAACGTGGAAAAACCATGAATCTTGAATTACAAGGACACAAGGCATGTCCTCATAAACAACATCAACATTGCAATACCTTGATCATACCTATGACATTATACACTTGTGTCCTTATAAAGCACATAAACAGGCACTCACCTCGTTGTTTAAGCAGTCATGGATAAACCTGATGCGTCTTGTAATGCTGAATGTCTTCTTCTCCTCCTAGAGCGGCTCTGCTATTCCCAGCCACGTGTTCTCCAACCGGCCGTATTTCTTCGATAATCCCAGACGATACGACAGCGATGATGATTTAGCCTGGCCTTCACATCCCGTCACCACCTCAACCAGGTACAACCGGTAGTGACTCAAAAAACACGCTCGCAACTAAAACCAGGCTACACCAGTGTCAGATTATCTGTAAATGAGCAGTTCTCTGCATTTTCTGATTTCTGTTTTCATTTATCTCGTTTATTTCCTCTTTTAAATTGCATTATGGGAGCTTGATCTTTCTTTTAACCTTGCTACAAACCCCTTATACTAAACTGCAGCTCATTTTCCACTATCACAGACTTATTACTCTAGATAGTATGTCTTTATATGATTTCAAAGCCCTAAAATGTCAATAAAAGTCACTTTGTTAAACTGTAGAGCTGAATTTCCAACATCAGAAGTGGACAGAGCAGAGATCAACATCCCATAATGCACATACACACATGCACTGAGCTGTATCTCCTGTGTGTGTGTAGTTTATCGACGGACTGCTCGGACTGGGGGAGCCGCAGCAGCAGTTTTCTGGTTCATCTTGGAGGAGACGACCAGCGCTCGACTGTGGTGACGGCAGGACTAAACCGCTAGCACTCGCGCAGCCACAGCGCTAACACATCCACACGTCACCGAGAGACAGTCGCCACGGCAACAGCTGATGACGACATCAGAGTAACAGAAGATCAGCCTGTGTTCAGAATGCACGACTACACTGCGCAGCACTATTAATAACACACACACACACACACACACACACACACACACACACACACACACACACACACACAATGGCTAAATTTAAATAACTAACACACACACACACACTGTATACTATAAATAACTCCCTCTCACACACCCACTGTGTACTATTAATAACTCACACGCACATACAATGCGTAATATTAATAACTAACACACACACCCACTGTGTACTATTAATAACTCACACACACTACTGACATCACTGCACACTTCATACAGTACACACACTACAGACTAATAATACACACACCGTGTACTGTTTAACACTCATTACACTAAACACAAAGCAAGAATCTCTGAGCAAAACCGAACCTGTTCAGTACTGAATGAATCATTCACAGTCAGTGATTCAGTGATTGATTCATAAAGACCCCTTCTTTGATTCTAAATGAATCAGCTTATTTGAATGAACCATTTGAATGAATGACTCTGTGAATCACTCTTTAATTATCCATGACAGACTAAAAACATTTTTTTTATGAGGTGGAATTCTTATGGATCAGATTAATTCTAAGTGAATGAGTTTATTTGAACGAATGACTCAGTGAATCACTCTTTATTTCTCCATGATAGACTAAAACCTTTATACAAATTTGCACTTAATATGGAGCAGAACATTTATGAATGTCAGAGCAAAACTGAACCTGTTAATTACTGAATGAATTATTCAGTCAGTGATTCAGTAATTGATTCATAAAGACCCCTGCTTTGTTTTTAAACAAATCAGCTGATTTGAAGGAATCATTTGAACGAATGGCTCAGTGAATCACTCTTTATTTATCTGTGGCAGTCTGAAATCTTGTTTATTTACTGACTTTTATAAGAAGCAAAACATTCATGAATCTCATACCAAAACTGACCCTATTTATTAATGAATGAATCATTTCCAATCAGTATTTTAGTGAATGATTCATAGAGACTTTTGCTTTGTTTCTAAACGAATCTGCTTATTCGGAATCATTTGAACGATATTTATTCATGACAGACCAAAACCTTTTTATGTACGGCATTTCTTAGGGATTACAACATTAATGAATCTTAGAGGAAAACTGAACCTGTTCATTACTGAATTAATCATTTCCAGTCAGTGATTGAATCATAAAGACCCTTGCTTTTTTTCTAAACAAATCTGCTGATTTGAAGGAATCATTTGAACGAATGGCTCAGTGAATCACTCTTTATTTATCTGTGGCAGACTGAAATCTTGTTTATATACTGACTTTTTTAAGAAGCAGAACATTCATGAATCGCATGCCAAAACTGAACCTATTCATTAATGAATGAATCATCTCCAGTCAGAGTTTAAGTGAATGATTCATATTGATCCTTGCTTTGTTTCTAAATGAATCAGCTGATTTGAATGGATCGTTCGATTGGGTGACTCGACTATTTATTTATCCACAACAGACTGAAACCTTATTTATGGAGCAGAACATTAATGAATGTTAAGAGCAAAACTGAACCTGTTCATTACTGAATGAATCATTCAGTCAGTGATTGATTCATTAAGACCCCTGCTTTGCTTCTAAATGAATCAACTGATTTGAAGGAATCATTAATTGAGTGACTCATCTATTTATCAACGACAGACTGAAACCTTATCTATGGATCAGAACATTTATGAATCTCAGATCAAAACCGAACCTGTTCATTACTGAATGAATCATTCACAGTCAGTGATTGATTCATTATGACCCCTGCTTTGTTTCTAAATGAATCAACTGATTTATATGGAACATTCGTTTAGATGACTCAGTGAATCACTCATTAAGAAACTAACTATTCACCAGCAGAAGATTTGAATCTTACAGCAAATCTGAACCGGTTCATTACTGAATGAATCATTCCCAGTGAGTAATTCAGTGAGTGATTCATAGAGACCCTTGCTTTGTTTCTAATTGAATTAACTGATTTGAAGGAATCGTTTAAATGATTAAAATCATTAAGAAACAGACCCTTTATCCATGTCAGACTGCAACTGTATTTATAAATCAGAACATTTATGAATCTTAGAGCAAAACTGAACTTGTTCATTACTGAATGAATCATTCAGTTAGAGATTGATTTATAAAGACCCCTGTTTTGTTTCTAAGTGAATCAACTTATTTGAATGGATCATTTGATTGGATGACTCAGTGAATCACTCATTAAGAAACTGACTATTTATCCACGACAGACTGAAACCCGATTTATCGAGCAGAACATTTAGGAGTCTTAGACCAAAACTGAACCTGTTAATTACTGAATGAATCATTCACAGTCAGTGATTCAGTGACTGATTCATTAAGACCCTTGCTTTGATTCTAAATGGAATCAACAGATCTATTACTCCACGACAGACTGAAACTCCAGCAGTAGTATGCTTATGTTGCTGTGCATTCTGAACCCAGATCAGTGCTGTAAATCTGTGTACATTCACTCACACTCACATTGTGACTCCAGTACAGTAGTTTTGATCAGAATGATGAACTAACGTGTGTAAGGCATGATGACTTTGTGTTTATCATCGTTTCACTTAGATTAAAGCACACTTTAACACTTACGAGAAGCACTATATAATTATGTATATAAATAAATATATATTTCACTGAAACGTGATTCTCATTTGTTGATTTGTAATGAGGATGTTTCGTCATCTTTCATCAAAAAATAAATGATTTGCTGTTATACTACAGGTCTGCTGATTGCTTGATTCTGATTGGCTGATGATCATATATTAAGGTGTGCCATTATTTTCATACGTAGGCACTGATAAAGTAGTTCCGCCAGGTTTAGAGTACATTACAGCCCCATATCACTACGCTGAATGATTAGAGTTACTTCACAGTCAAAAACCACATCAAATTAACTAAATCCTATATGTGACACAATAATAACACCATTACTAAGGTAAAATTCTGACCAGAATTCAAATGAAGATGAAAAATATAACTCTGATGTAAACTATACAATAATAATAGATGCATATCATAATCATAATTAAATCAATCACTCAATAAATGTGCTGCAGGTTTCAGGGTGAAGTGATGTACAGTTCACAAGAAATAAGCAAACACTGAATCATGAGCAGAATGTGTGTGTGTGTGTGTGTGTGTGTGTGTGTGTGTGTATAAAGCATTTCAGCAACAGCTCATTTATTGTAATTTTATTTCATTAAATCACGCTAAGGCCATATCATAATATTGGCTGTATTTCATTTATACTACTGGGCTGCTGAATGCTTGATTCTGATTGGCTGATGATAATATTTTAAGGTGTGTCATTATTAATACACACAGCTAAAGAAGTTCCGGCAGGTTTTGAGTACATTATAGTTCCATATCACTCCGCTGAATGATTTATTTCAGTCAAAAATCAGATAAAAAAATTATTATACATTTACATAATTTTATTTTATTTTTTTATTATTTTATTAAGTTAAAATTCTGACTTAAATTCAAATGAAGATGGAAAATATAACCATGACATAAACTATTCAATTATAATGAAAATATCCATCCTAATTTCCTGATTTTCAAAATTCAGAAATTTTATTTGGTATTTAAAAAAAAATACATCAAAAATAAATAAATAAATGTGCTACAGTCCTGCTAAATGCTTGATTCCGATTGGCTGATGATCATATTTTAAGGTGTGCCATTATTTTCATATAAAGGCACAGATAAAGTAGTTCCGCTAGGTTTAGAGTACATTACAGCTCCATATCACTACGCTGAATGATTAGAGTTACTTCACAGTCAAAAACCACATCAAATTAACTAAATGCTTTATGTGACACAATAATAACACCATTACTAAGGTAAAATTCTGACCAGAATTCAAATGAAGATGGAAATCATAACCCTGACATAAACTATTCATTTATAATAAAAATATCCATCATAATTTACCGATTTTCAAAATTTCTGAAATTTTATTTGGTATTTTTAGGAAAAATACATCATGAATAAATAAATAAATACATGTGCTACAGAGCTGCTAAATGCTTGATTCCGATTGGCTAATTAGAGTCACTGATTATTTTCATTTCCGCATAGATAAAGTAGTTCCGGCAGATTGAGCGCATTACAGCTCCATATCACTCTGTTCAATGATTCGACTTATTTCATAGTCAGAAATCACATCAAAACCCAACAGAAAGTATAATAAAGCACACATATACAGAAAATATATGTGCTTTGTCTGTGCGTTATTTTCTAATAACTCAACAGCCCTGCATTTGTGCGAGACTCATCATTTCAGAAAGGCTTGAATAAACTCCACCATAAATACATCAAATTAACTTACAGGGTATTTTTGACCAATGAGCTGTATTTCAGCTTGATCTGGGTCTGTCAATGCTGTTTACCTAGTGTAAAGCATGAGAAGCAGACACGCACGTGGGAATGGTGGGCGGGGAGAACCAGCTTATTTGCATTTAAAGCCACACGCAACCAAAACAGCAACACTATCCTCAAACACCAAACTGGACATAATCTGCATTGTATAATAAATAATCTGATGTGTATTTTCAGCTGAAACTTTAGACACTTACTAGAGACACCAAAGACGTATCTTACACCTTGTAAAAGGGGTGCCCTTTAAAATAAAAGTTTCTTACTTAACAAAAAAAGAGAGAGATTTAAAGCTGTGAGACAACCAGATCAATTTATTCCCATTTCAATAAATATTCCTGACACAAACACACAATATAGAAGCATCTTAAATCACACATCTGTCAGAAAGGCGATGTTCAGTGTGTAAATGCAGATCTCTTTTGCACATTTACAGTGGATTTCTACTGCGCTTGAAGACGCAAGGACGTCGAATGTTTGAATTAAATGAGTGAAACCTGCATTATTCACTACAGGAGACGGAAATCCCACAATCATCAACGAGAGAAGCCATATTTACACTGTTATTACTCGGTCATTCACAAGTATTAAGGCAAACGCTGAATGTTGCATTGTTTTCAATAGCATGCAGCGCTCAACACACACACACACACACACACACACACACATTAATAGCTGCTCTTCGTCTTCATAAAATTATTCCTCAAATTATTAGACATGTAAAGGCAGAAGGGAAAAGCACTCGATCTCAGACTGAGGAGGGAAAGCAGAAGTACACCGGAGCTTTGGCTTAAATCAGTATGAAGACTGTGGCTTCTAGCGATCCTACTAATATCAACATCAGCGTTATTCATAGAAACATGTCTGTGCAGAAGGGAACTGAAAGATTTTTGAAGTCAGAGCTATAAATATCCCAAATCAAGAACTCTCCGACAAAATCAAATCGAGTTTGACAATGAAAGAGCTGATATTATGATGCAGAATTACTGATATATTCAAAAATAAAAGCTAGCTCTGGATATTCAGGGCTGAAATGACCGCTTTCACACATCTAATAGTTCATGGATTTTGGCCTGCACGTTTGCCCACCTCTTAGACATGAATCTGAAGTAAATGGAGGGATTTTATTGCTTGTTATCTGTTGCTTTAACGTGTAACAGTGAGCTACATTTGCTTGCTTCAAGCTTAAAAAATAAATGATTTCAATGGTCCCATCAACAGAAACGTCTTCATTTTAGATGAGAAATGTCTTCACAAGATGCACATACATCACAGAAATATCCAGTTTTAATCATTCACATTCATATGCATTTAGCGGTTTATATATATATATATATATATATATATATATATATATATATATATATATATATATATATATGAAGAGTTCAGATGCAGAAACCCCTAAGTGCCATCTAAAATTTCCATCAGAAATGAACATTTTTCTCAGCCTCCTTTGTTTATGTTGAGATATTTCACTTTAAAGAGCAGGAAAAGGACTTATTCTTTGCCATAAAAGTGATATTACTGAACACATATATAGGAGGCTAATAAAAAAGCTGATTTAAAAGGAAAATTTCAGACAGCAATCAGAGGTTTTTGCATCTAAACTGTTCATATATACACACACACCCCTTGAAGAAGGTATTAAAATGTGATTAATTTGAACAAAATAAGAGCGATCATAAATAATGCATGTTATTTTTTTATTTAGTACAATCCCGGGTAAAGTCTTACATAAAATATGTTTAAATATGTTCATGAGTCTCTTGCTTGTTCTGAACAGTTAATCTGACTGCAGATTCTGCAGTTTTCAGCTTATTTCAATAGTTTCTGCTAGAGTTTCGTGTAGTAAACTATATGTGAACATATTTCATGTAAGATATCTTATTCAGGATGGCACTAAATACATAAAAAACATGCATTATGTATGATCTCTCTTATTTTGATCACATTATTCACATTTTAACAAGGAGTATGCAAACTTTTGAGCACACGTGTATATAGTGCTGGGCAAAGATGAATCACTATTAATTGCATCCAAAATACAAGTTTGTTATGTATATATGTGCGTGACTGTGTTCTATATATTTATAATGTATATGATGTTGTGAAGTCGTAAAAGCAACAAAACCAGAGAGATCTTTCGATGAATGCCACAGCTACAGCGAGTTCCCATTAAAGGATTCTGCTTTGAAAATACCCGAAAATCTCCCTGGTTTTGTTGCTGCTTCAAAATTTACAACTGTTGTGAACAATGTGTTATGAACTATTTTGTTACATAGATTTTAAAATGCATAATTTGTATCATCTAATTATATATATCAGGGGTGCCCAAACTCGGTCTTGGAGCTAAACTCTGCAGGACACCGGCCCTCCAAGACAGAGTTCAGCCACCACTGATGAACATTTTTCTCAGCCTACTCTTTTTACATTGACTTTTTTTCACTTTAAAGATCAGGAAAATAACTTATTCTTTGCAGTGCACGTTACAGTGCACTCACCTAAATCAGGTCCAAAATAAACTTTAATTTTGGACGTGATTAATTGTAATTAGTTTTGCCCAGCAATTATATATATATATATATATATATATATATGAAATTATCATTTTATTCAGGCTCATATGTGTATGTTCAGTAATATTACTTTAATGGCAAAGAATAGGTCCTTTTGCTGATCTTTAAAGTGAAATATCTCAACATAAACAAAGAAAATGAACAGATACATAAACATAACAGAGACAATGTTAATTTTTGATGGAAATTTCAGACAGCACTTAGTGGTTTATGCATCTGAACTCTTCATATATATATATATATTTTTTTTTTTTCTTTTGGTTTTATAAAAATATTCCTCCAAAATACTCCTAACAGTAATGAAGAAAAGAGTTTTGTTTGCTTTATACACAATATAGTTGCTTGTGTTTTGAAACTAAAATAAGATCTGGATATATTATCGATTACTTCACTCAAACTATTATCAAAACATTTGATAATAAAAAAAAATAATAATAAAACTATGTTTGTCAGCAGTAACAGACACAAACACTGAAAAGACGCACGAAACAAAAAGCAAAATGAAGCGCAAAAAACGAGGAGCTGAGAGCTCTGAACAGGCAGAGAAGGAACGCGTCTGAAAGCGTCGATGTGTTTGTCGAGTGTGTGTGTTTGTGTGATCTAGAGGAAGCAGGGAAGGGTTCTGCTGGATCCTGCAGTCCCTGAGACAGACAGGCCTTATTCTGGGCTGATAAGACTATTGCAGAGTCCTCTGGGCTGAAGCCACCTGGTGGCCTGGAGATGTGTTACCTGTGATCCTTCAGAAGAGTCCGGAAGTTGTGCAGCTCTTTTATACTGGTGGAGAGCCTGAGAGACAGAGAGAGACCACAGGATGGAGAAAACATCACTTTATAGTTTTTAATCAGTTTATAGTTTGTTTGTTTTTTAAGTTGACAGGATTTTTGATGACTTGCACCTAAATTTGACAGCCCTCTGAATATTTTCTGCTGGGAATATAGGACCATATTATATACAGTTACAGTAAAAATGATCAGTCCTTTTTTTCCTTGTCACATATTTCACAAATGATGTTAAATGGATTCAGGAATTTCTCTAATTTTTTTTCTTCTGGAGAAAGTCTTATTTGTTTTATTTCGGCTAAAAGAAAATCAGTTTTTAATTTTTATTAAAGCCATTTTAAGGTCAATATTATTCGCCTCCTTAAGCAATATTAGTGTTGGATTGTCTCCAGAACAAACCACTGTTATACAATGACTTGCCTAATTTCCCTAACTTTACCCTAATTACCCTAGTGAAGCCTTTACATGTCACTTTAAGCTGTATAGAAGTGTCTTGAAGAATATCTAGTCTAATATTATTTACTGTCATCATGGCAAAGAGAAAATAAATCAGTTATTAGAGATGAGTTATTAAAACTATTATGAACAGAAATGTGCTGAAAAAATATATATTTCCCTTAAACTGAAGTTAGGGAAAAATGATGCAGGGGGGCTAATAATTCTGACTTCAACTGTATGTCAACATAAAGAAAGTTTCTGTGTTATTCATTTTATTTGATCTTTTTCATGAATGTTTTTACACAAAAAAAACTGAGAAAAATGCGGGGAAAGAATTAAGCTTATACTCAAGACAAAATGGTCCAAAATCCACACATTATTTTAAGATATATTGGATTTTAGATAACTTGATATAATTGGTGTGAAAAATGTATTCCAAAAATAACAGAAGGTAATCCTGGAGACAGTAGATGCACCCGCAACTCTAGAATGACCTTAATAATAATAGCCCCTGTCACACAGTGATACCAGTACATATCTGGAAAATTTCCGGGACGACTTTACCGGTGAATTCATAAAAGTGCTGTTCACACAGGCGAGGACGTTACGGAAATTTCCCGGAAAAGAGCATTCACAAATACATCCCAGAATGCCGGTAAATTCTGACAACATTAACCAGAAATGAGCTGTAAACGGCTGCGCTTGTGTTAGTAAACATTTGACTACATCACAAACTCAGTGGAGGATCAGTGTTGTGGAAAACTTCGATAAAATAGAGGAACACTTTCGCATGTCAAGATGTACAGGATGTGTGTGTGTGCTGGCGCTCACCGGCTGCTTCACAGGCACACGCAAAGCTTAAAGGTAAACAAACAACGGCTTATCATAAGCAACTTATCGATAATTATTTACACGGTTGGTTTTAAGATGAGCATTTAAAGGTTATCTGACTAACTTCTAGCAGCTAAATGTGTCTGGAAAAATATTCAAAGGCTTTTATTCTCATAAACCACGCGGACGTGAATGCGTCAGACTGTTCTGATTGGCTAAAGCAGACGTCTCACGTCAGCATGTTCTAGACGTGCACGCGCTCTTTCCCTCAATCTTTATTCTGCATTCACACAGAGCAGCATTCAGGTTAATTACCAGTAATGTTACAACTTCTCTTTCCGGAAAATAGCCAGAACGAATTTACCGGCATTTTCAAAAAGGGCCTGTTCACACATACACATCTTTCCGGAAAATTGCCGGTAATTTCCCGGAAAGGTGTGTATGTGTGAAAGGGGCTTTTTTTTTTTACTTTTGTGATAGCTTTCAGCAGTATGTTCACATCTCAGAGTGTTTTACCTGGAGAAACCATTGAGCAGAGCCACGATCTCCTGTCTGGTGAGCTGGAAGCCTTTAGACGGACTGTTTTCTGGAAGCTTCTTGATTTCTTTCTCAGAGAAGAGGATCCTGAGGGCCGTTCCCAAACCCTGAGTCTGACACACACACACACACACACACACACACACACACACACACACACACACACACACACACACACACACACACACACACACACAGAAACATTTACTCTCACATTAAAACTCCTCAACTGATCATATCAAACCTTTACAAGACATAAAGAAAACATTATCTTTTTTTTTTTAATATAGACCATATATTAACTAAATTCTGCCTTTTTTTTAAGAATGCAGTCGTCTTGATTAATGTGACCTTCTTTGGTTGAAATATAATTTTATTGTGCAAAATATATTTGAATAACAAAAAAATGCAATTATTCTGCTGATCTGAATTGATCAATACAGAATTAATTAATTTATTTAAAATATTTAAAGACAAGTAAATTATTAATATCTGTAATTAAATGACCAAAAACTATTTGTTTATTTATTTAAAATAGCTAGTTACACTGCAATGCTTTATCTGATGCGTGTACTGCTTTAAATTGTGTCTCAGTCAGGCAGATCAGTGATTTATAATGACATCAAAATCCACAGTAATTATAAATATGGTCAATTTCAGACTTTAAGTACCTGTAATTTTCCCCAAAGTCGACATTTGCTGCAGCCGACGCAGTCCATGATGCGAGAGATGTTTTTAAAGTGAAGCCTGAACTCCTCCTGAACAACATGAAGATTAATATGCACATCAATCAATGTTCACTCTAACAAATGCTGGAACTTTTAAACCCAATGGTGGGTCAAATATAAATAAACCCAACCATCGAGTTAAAAAAAAAGTAATTAATTAATTAAATTGAACAATTATTAATAATTAACTAAAATTAACAGACAAAAAAAAATGAACCCAGTGGTTGAATTAGTCCAAATTTGACCCAGCATTAGATTAAAACTACTCAACATATTTTAGAGTGTAATATAAAGTTAACATTAAAGCTTCTTTAGAAACACAATCTATGCAAATGAGCGCACATGCAAATCAGTCAATATGCAAATGTGGTAACAGAACAGCTGAACTCGAACCCTGAATATTAGTAAAATGCATGGTCAAATCATAACAGACAGCTGCAGGAACAACACAGACTGATCACCGTTATAGATTAGAGGAACTCAAGCATCATTTACTCATTCTGAAACTAACAGACGAAGGTTTCTGTTCTGTAAAACGGCCCACAATGCATCTGTCACACTCAACTCACCTTTAATGTCTTCGACTCGATTTTATGACCGGCAAACATGGAGCTCTCATCGAAATGCATGGGGAATGCTCTGCAACACACAGACAAATGCATGCTAGATCAAATGTATATGCATGGTTTAAAGAAGTCCTATATCTTATTTGGTTCAGGGGTGTCCAAACCTTTTCATATGAAGAGCAAAAAGAAATGTCACCGAGGCCCGTGGTCCGAACTATATTACATTAACGTCATGGGTAATTTCCTAATTTATTTTAAAATAAATCAAAAACATTGCTTTAAATATGCATAAACTAATTAAAATGACTTTTTAAATGAAAACCGATTGCAATAAAACAATCCCATTTATAACACTGCAGAGTTCAATGCTGAATACACAGGTCCAGCAGAATCTGCCTTTGACTTGATTTCCTCATCAAAGTCTTTGCATTGTCAGCAGACAGCGAGAATCTGATTAATTGACACCACTTTAGTGAAATATTTAATTTGACTCAGCTTTTAACAATAAAACAAGCAAAGGGTTACGCTGAATTTTAAATTGACAATCTCTAAACCATAGCAAGGAGCAAAGGTTATTATGGGCCAACTTTGGCCATCACTGATTTAGTAAGACTGACAAATTATGTGAGGAATTTATTAATCATTAATCATTTTAATCATACCACTAATTAAAATGACAGAATTTTAATATTGCTTTTTTATAAGTTATACATTTTTAAATTAAATAACTTTTCAGTATTAGTGTCGATCCTCTTTTGAATGTTTACTCAGGGTGAAATATGATAAAATCTATTGCTAAATGCAAAAAAAACTAACAAAAGTAAAAGAGTATTTTTTTTTTCTAGTAGTAATTACCCAGAGCAATTAATTTTTCATGCAATTAAATAAATTAATGAAAATAGTATACAAGTATATAATAATAATAATAATAATAATTTTTATAATTATTATTATGAGTATAAAGAATATTTACATTTAAAAAAATCTTTTTTGTATTTATTCTTTGGTAGGGGCAATATTAGATCATAAAAAGTGCCTTATGACTACATTAAATATCTGTATAATCTATATAATTAAAGTTGGCATAATATTATTAATAATAAGAAGAATAAGAATAAGAAGAAGAATAATAAGAATAATAATAATAATAAGAAGAAGAAGAAGAAGAAGAAGAAGAAGAAGAACAATAATAATATGTATAAATAATACTTACATTTTAAATTAAATTATTATTTGGTGTGAGGGAGCAATATTAGTTCATAAAAATGAATTATGAACATTACATAATTTTGGAACTAAAGTTGGCATAATGATTCTGAGTATTTATTCTTTGGTGTGAGGGAGCAATATTAGATCACAAAAGTGTGCATCATTAAATATGTTTTAGGATTAAAGTTGACATAATATTAATAATAATAATAATAATAATAATAATAATAACAAAATGACTAATGAATTACTGCATATTATGTTTCTTGATGTATTATGATTTTTTTGTTTTTTGGTGGTAATTTCCCTGGGAATTATGCCAATAAATACATAAAGGAAAACATAATTTAAGTATGTAATAATAATAATAATAATAATAATAATAATAATAATAATAAAACAAATTTTAAAATAAATTCATTAAAATATTTTTGTATTTATTCTTTAGAGGGGGGCAATAGCAGATCATAAAAATGTGCAATTTGACTACATTAAATATTCTATATAACTAAAATTGGCACAATAAAGAAATGACAAACAAACAAATAAATAAATAAATAATATGCATAAATAATACATTTTAAATTAAATTAATTCTTGGGTGTGAGGGAATAATATTAGTTCATAATAGGAAGCATTATGACCACAATAAATATTTTTAGAATTACAGTTGGCATAATAAAAATAATAATAATAATAACAACAATAATAATACCAATAATATAACTGCATCACGGTGGCGCAGTGGGTAGCACAATCGCCTTCCAGTAAGAAGATCACTGGTTTGAGTCCCGGCTGGGTCAGTTGGTGTTTCTGTGTGGAGTTTGCATGTTCTCCCCGTGTTGGCGTGGGTTTCCTCCTGATGCTCCGGTTTCCCCCACAGTCCAAACACATGCGCTATAGGGGAACTAATTAACTAAATTGGTCGTAATGTATGAGTGGGAATGAGTGAGTATGGGTGTTTCCCAGTGATGGGTTGCAGGTGGAAGTGATCCGCTGTGTAAAACATGTGCTGGATAAGTTGGCGGTTCATTCTGTTGTGGCGACCCCTTTTTAATAAAGGTACTAAGCTGAAAAGAAAATGAATGAATGAATAATAACACTGTGCTACTCTTGGTGCTCACTTGGTCTCGTTGAGGATCTCCAGCAGCAGTTGTTTAGTGCTGGTGTCCTCCTCTGTGTTTCCGGTGTACAAGTTAATGAAGGAGCGTTCGAAGTACGGAGCCACTTTAGACAGCGCCCGCAGCTCGATCAGGTACAGGAAATACAGGTTCTTCAGTCGTCGCGTGCCTTCGCCTTTCGTCTCCGCCGGGTCGAAACGTTGTCTGAACTCGTGCACGTTTGGACCCCAAACCGGCTTCCCCCAACCCTCTAAAAAACACACACACACACATCAACACTCACAAACACCAGCTATGACATGTGAATTATGCGCAAAACTGGAATATTGCATAAAACATCAGTGAATAACACATTAGTCAATTTGCAAAACAGTTTATGCACATTATTTCCTTTCAGATCAAAGTTTATCCTGCTCAGTTGTGCACATACGTACGTTTTTTTATACACATTTTCAAAATGTATGCGCGTCTTTGGTATTTACATGAAGTATTTTTTATTCAATTTTCCAAAACGCACATAAATATAGGTGGATAGCAACACAGCAGAGGAGTGTTTACCGTCCAGCAGGTATTTAGCACACAGGTGGATGTTGATGCTGCTGTGAAGGCCTGAGATCAGCCGATAGAAGACACGCTTCTCCAGACACAAACCTGCAGAGCGCACACACACACACATAATATTAGTTAGATATTTAAAAATTGTACATAACAATGGATTATTCTGTTAGTAAAAATCTGATTTTACCAAGGGGTAATCCACACTCGGCACAATCAAGGCCTGAAGCCGCCTTTCCACTGTACACGACATTTGGATACGACTGTTGGCCCCTTGTGGCAGTCGCACAGAATTTTCAGTGCTGTCGTGTGCCATGGGAGAGAAGCTGATTCTCGTGGTGTCCGAAATAAAGGAGCGAAAAAGCCTTTATTCTCCGTGCGTTCACCATGGTCAAATGAAACTCATAGCCCACAAAAACATTTTAAGGGAATGTGGAGACAACATTAAAAATTATATATTTTATTACTCTTTTATGAATAGAAATGTTTTTTTAATAAAAGCTTTTTTTCTAATTTAAAAAAGAACAAAAAAAATCTACTATTCCTCATCTCACGCACACAGATCAGCTTAGACAACATTGGAATTTATCACATCTGGTCGGCATACGGTCTAGTCACAGGAGTTTAAATACTTCAACATATCTGCAGCTCAAATGGGATTCAAATTTTCCACATATGATCAGAACTCCACGCAGCGCCCGGACAACTCTCTATTGGAGATGAGTGACTTCCGGTCTGTCACTCGTCGTCTGTCGTGTGCAATTGAAAGGCGGCTTGAGTTTACCAGAGCTTAACATTAACATATCTAATTACTGGCCTTTCAGATCAGGTTACCATGTTAACAGTGTAAATAATCACTTACCCTCCAGCCAGTTGTAGAATCCTTCACCTGTGAGACACAGAGAGTGTGTGTGTGTGTGTTAGAGCGCAGTAATAAACACCGGTGTGTAAACTAAACAAGACAAATAATATAAGAGCAGAAAAGAACTCACCGTCATCATCACCTGCACACACACACAACAAACACAAACACATCAGTTATACACAGACTATAAAAATAAAACCTTATAACTGATTTACTTTCTCTTTGTCATGATGACAGCACATAATATTAGTCTAGATATTCTTCAAGACACTAGTGTTCAGCTTAAAGTGACATGTAAAGGCTTTACTAGGGTAATTAGGGTAAAGTTAGGGTAATTAAGCAAGTCATTGTATAACAGTGGTTTATTCTGGAGACAATCCAACACTAATATTGCTGAAGGGGCGAATAATATTGAGCTTAAGATGGCTTTAAAGAGGGTTAAAAGGGTCTGAGAAATATTTTTAAAATAACACATGTGGAGGCAAATCAGAATAAATCCTGTTTTTAACAGTAAATGATGAAAACGCACCACGAACAGGAGCCAGAGGGTTGAGAGGACGATACACTGATCTGGGCCTGAAAACACACACACACACACACACAAGAAAAATGAGCTTATTGTGCTGCTGTGTGTGTTAGGTGTGTCATATGTGGTGGGTGTCTGTGTGTTTATGTCTTGTGTGTGTTATGCGCATGTGTGTATGTGTGAGTTATGTGTGTGTGTCTGTGTGTTAGATATGTGAGTGATGTGTATATAATGTGTGTGTTATGCGTGTTTCTCACTTGAAGCAGTTTTCCTCATAAATGCTGTTCCAGACTCTCCAGGCAGACGGGCCTTTATATCCGGTGTATCGCTCCGGGTTCAGGAGCAGATCCACATACTCTGATTCAGGAGACATTTCATCTGCACGCACACACACACACATCTGCATCAGTACAGTCTGTTTTAGCACTACAGCACTCTATACACACACACACACACACACACTAGGCTTGGGCGGTATTTCGGTATTATGGTATACCGCGGGATCTAAAAATAGCAACGGTGTCAGTTTCAATACCGTTATACCGTCATAAAATATTAAATATCCTTTATTTAATGCCTACAAAAACGGATGTGTGGTTGTCATCACGGGACAGTGTGGAGGAGGGAGGGAGAGGGGGAGAGGGAGAGGGGGAGAGGGAGGAGGAGTGGGAAGGGGGGAGAGGGGGAGAGGTGACGTGACGAGTCACACTTCAAAGTGTCCTGCAGTTTGTCAGTTTTGACTGAACAGAAGGGAGACGTGGTTAATATGAACGAGAGGTCTGCATTAGAGCTGAAGATCTTTGCCCGAACCCGGCGAGACCCGAAAAAATCCAAATCCCTGCATTAAAATCCATCCCTGCAAAGGTGAAACAAATGATGATGAAGTAGTAAAAAAAAAGAGAATTTTGACGGCGGTCAAGCCAGTCACTAGCTCAGAAGGAGCGGTTATTCCAGCTGCAGGTATTTCGCGGTCGCTCATACACTGCGTATTACGGTAGAGCCCTAAACCGCAAGCTGACAGGTAAAAAGAAGAGGCCATTCGCTACACTGAAACTGCTGTCATGGAAAATTAAATGCATGTTCCTGACTGGTAGAAGATGAACAAACAATCCAACCCAAAACTTGCAAAACAAGCCAGATCAGAACTCTGCATCTCGACCTGTAGCAGCAGGAAAGGGTGTTCAGCTGCTGGACGCACCATGAGTGAGAGACTGCGCTAAAGCCAGTGGATTTAATGTTCCTCCACAAACACACGTAGCCTAATCTTGGTGCGTAAAGCGTTTTAAATTATAAATAAATATTAATTAAACCATATAATCATAATGTAGACAGAGTATACAGGCTAATGGTGGCATTATTCTTTTAATATTCAGCTTCACCGATGTTAAATGATGTTAAAACATGTAAATGACTCATTCTTGAAAAAAAATGCATTAGAGCTGTGTGCATGAGCACATTTGAATAATGTCGGGCTGTAAATGGGTTTGGGCTTTATAAAGCTGTCAATCAAAATGTACCTGTCGGACTCGGGACCTATCGGGTATAATTTTTATGGCCCGATTACAGCTCTGCATTCCCGCTGCAGTACCGTGGGGGCCGGCCAGATTTCTTATGGTGTGGGAGTAAATTTCTGAATAAATCGCGGGAGAGATGTGTGTGTGTTTGTGTAAGAGACAGAGAGATATGCTGTGCGTCGCTTGGCTCTCTCTCTCTCTCTCTCTAACCGCGAGCCTAAGGTCGCATAGAAGGTATTCAGTTTCTGAATGGTCTGAGCCTTACGTCATAATTTTTTTATTACGCCGGTAATACCGGATACCGGGGTAAATTATATGGAGGCGGTTTTACGGTATCAAAATTTGGATACCGCCCAAGCCTACACACACACACACACACTCACACTCACACTCACACACACACACCTTTCTGTTTATCAGAAAACAACGGATAAGGATTTTGCTAAATTCAGCCCATATTATCAACATGGCTATTAAATAAAAATAATTATGATTATTATTAAATTATTATATTATGTATACTATATTTATATAATTATTACAATATTTAAATTTGTTTTAATTACTAAATAAATAATAAAACCAAAAAAAACAAAAAACAAAAACAAATGTTCAATAATGTTCAAAAATGCCAAAATGTTCATTAATATTTATTATAGCTAGTTAATAATAAAATAACAACAATAATAATAATAATAATAAACAATAAAAGGATCATATTAATTATAAAAGTAAAATATAATATTATTATTTTATTGTTATTATTATTTATAGCCAGATTAGATTCATATAATCAGTGGTATTTTTGGCAGTTTTAGTGTAGTTTTGTAGTAATAATAATTTATCTTAATTTTAATTAATATTTTTAAAACAAAAGAAAATTATAGGAAATTTACCATTCTTACACTAATTAAATAAACAATGTAAAAAATAATTTTAAATTAAATTACTAAGCACTAAATAATATAAAATAAAGTACTAAATTACTATTATTATCATCATCATTTAACTGTAAAATTACAACATAAAAAATATTTAATTCTTATTAAAAAAGTCCATTTATTCATTTATTTATTTTCTCTCTCCCCCACAAATAACAAACCCACAGGAACCCATCAAAGGCTATGAATGAAAACAGCAGCACAAGAGTGCATATATTAATTGAATGAAATGAAAGTGTGTGTGTGTGTGTGTGTGTGTGTGTGTGTTCTGATTACTGCACTGAGCATCACCTCAGCTTTCCTCATATTAATCCAGCATCTATAAGCAGCACACTGCAGACTATAAACAACCATCAGAGATCAGCAGATAAAAGATCTAACTCAGAGTGAAAGCGTAAACAACTGCCTTCCTTTCACTTCTGTCTCTCACACACACACACTCACACACTCACACACTCACACAGACAGACGACTAATTCAGTGAGGTTTTTATTTTTGCATATGGAAACTCACCGTCCAGCCCGCAGAAATGGTCCTGAGCGTCATCATGATGAGCCCAGTCTGCAAACGCTTCTTTACTCTGATTACTGCCGAAAACACACTGCACTTAATGCATGCAATCAGAGTGTGAGTGTGTGTGTGTGTGTGTGTAAAGAGAGAGAGAGAGAGGCTGTGTGAGTGTTTTTGTGTGTATGTGTGGGAGAGGCTGTGTGGTTGTGTGTGTTAATGCGTGTATGAGAGAGAGACTGTGTTTGTGTGTGTGTTTGAGAGAGAGAGAGAGGGAGAGACTGTGCGTTGATATGTGTGCGTACTGATAATGTATCTGTGCGCAAGACAGAGAGAGAGAGAGAGAGAGAGACTTTGTGTGTGTGTTGATATTTGTGTATTTATGTGTGTGTGTGTGTGTGTTGATCTGTGTACGAGAAAGACGTGTCTGTGTTGATGTGCATTTATGTGTGTATGAGAGAGACTGCATGTTTGTGTGTCTGCGTGAGGGATACTGTGTGTTTCCGTATATTGGTGTGTGTGTGTGTGTTTTACCTCAGGGTGCTGTTAATGGCGCCCAGTTCATGAGCCTGTTCACACTCCCGCATCTCACTCACAGTGTTCGCCGCGTGAGAATACTGAACACACAAACACAACACAACATTAAACACAACATTACTGCGCTTGCTTCCACAGACACAAACAGAAGTATATATGCGTGTGTGTGTGTGTGTGTGTGTGTGTTATATATTATATATATATATATTTTAAGTATATTAATGCTGGGCAAAGATTAATCACAATTTGTGAAACTCAAAAAAGAAGTTCGTTATGACACAATATATGTGTGTGTGTGTGTGTGTGTGTGTGTGTTATTAACCATAATAAATACTGTAAACTGTGGTGTATTATACTGTAGTATATGCCCTGCAGCTGTAGAAAATAATAATCATTTTTTTTAGATTTATAGTGCTTTTGTAGAGCTTTTCTGGACACTCAAAGCGCTTTACACATGGGGGGGTGGGGGGGGGGGTCTCCTCAACCCAGTGTGCAGCATCCACCTGGATGACGTGATGTCAGCCTGTGTGTGCCAGACCGCACACCACACACCAGCTGATTGGTGGAGAGGAGACAGAGCGATGAAGCCAATTATGATACGGGGAGGGTTAGGAGGCCATGATGGACAGAGGCCAGTGGGCAAATTTGGCCAGGATGCCGGGGTGAAACCACTACTCTTTTTCCAAGGACTTTCTGGGATTTTCCTGGGAGCTCGGTTTAACGTCTCATCCGAAAAACCAGCAGTATAGAGTCCCCTTCACTATACCGGGGCAATAGGACCCACACAGTCTGTAGGCTGAGCGCCACCTGTTGGCCTCACTAACACCACTTCCAGCAGCTACCTAGCTCTCCCATGTGGTCTCCCATCCAGGTACTGACCAGGCGCAGCCCTGCTCAGCTTCAGTGAGCGACCATGTGAGAGTTGCAGAGAGCTAGCTGCCGGTAAAATAAAAGCACAGTATTGGGTCATTTGTTAATATTACTATAGTTGCTGTGTACCATACATCACCAGAAATAGATTAACTAATTACTAAAGTATGGCTCAAAAACTGGCGACGCAGTGGCGCAGTAGGTAGTGCTGTCGCCTTACAGCAAGAAGGTTGCAGGGTCGATCCTCGGCTCAGTTGGCGTTTCTGTGTGGAGTTTGCATGTTCTCCCTCCGTTCGCGTGGGTTTCCTCCGGATGCGGTACAGGTGAATTGGGTAGGCTAAATTGTCCGTAGTGTACGAGTTTGTGTGTGAATGTTTCCCAGAGATGGGTTGCGGCTGGAAGGGGATCCGCTGCGTAAAAATATGCTGGATAAGTTGGCGGTTCACTCTTCTGTGGCGACCCCAGATTAATAAAGGGAGTGAGCCGATAAGAAAATGAATGAATGAATGAATGGCTCAAAAACACTGTAGCATTGACTTTAATTTACTTAATTGTTTCTCATGTGTGCAAAAGTATCGTAATGGATTACTTGCCATAAAAAGTAACTAAGTAATCCAACTAGTTACTTTTTAGGGGAGTAACCTAATGTTGTAATGCATTTCTTTCTAAAGTAACTCTCCTCAACACTGGGTATTGACCTCATTCTCTGCATACGACTGGGTGCAGTAAATGCCATCTTTTTGCTCTAGAGACTTCCGGTCTCATACACGTCCATTGATTTTAAGACGTTAAAAACAGCTTGTTATACTGCTTTATGTTGCAAACTGATGTTTTCTTATGATATTATTCTACTTTTTGTGTATGGTCATGAACACACTTGACTGTAGAGCGAGTAGACTGACTGTTTTCTGCTGTTTACTGTTCCCAGTCATTTCTCCTATAGGCGACTGAATCAGAAATTCTAAAACGAATCAAAAAATTGAGCACACTTCCACACTGAAGAACAAGCTCAACAGGAAACAAATCCTGATTTCCAAAGTTGAGTTGAAGAACCAAATTAGATGTTGTTATGATTTTCAAAATAATTCAGGATCTGTGGAATCAGAGGACTCCGGTGCAGATTTATCTCTACAATATGAACGCTCAGAGCTCTCTAAAAATACCCTCTCTTCGTTTATCAGACACGTATAGCAGCTTTTTAGCGCTGACTCAAGCTCACACGCTCTATTACACAAATCTGCAAACCTTAAACAAACAAAACCAGGCGGCCCGTGGGTCAAACAGCTGAACAAACAGCGCAAAACACACACACTGAAATCTGACAGGAGAACCAACACACACGCACACACACTCAGCTGATTCTCACCTTGTTGTAGTTGCCAGATTTGATTCCTACAGGAACTTTACTCTGGAAGAAAAAAGACAATAGTGTGAATGCTCGGAAATCTCCAGATCTGTGTGAATGATCATGCATGACAGTTTAATTTAGAAAAATCTATTTTTTTTTTTTTTTTGTAAATAAAACTAAGATGTCATACGTTTTTGTGAATGCTCAAAAATCTCCTTAATATAGGTGTAAATAATCATGAGTGCAAGTTCAATCATTGATTTTAAGAAAAATCCAGTTTTCAGGAAGTGCATTAAAACACGCAACGCATGCGCACACACACGCGCGCACACACACACACACACACACACACACACACACACACACACACACACACCTGGCTTTTACCTGACTGTTTTTATATATGTTTTTCTCCGTTATCCATTTGTATGTGATTCTGTATTTGTGATATGATTTTATTTGTAATTGGTGCATATAAGAAATCTACAATATTATATGTTTTTGAAAATCTTTAAGAAAGCTCCTTAATATCTGTGTGAATGATCGTGCATGCAAGTTTAATTTAGATAATAATAATAATATTTTTTGATAAATGTATGAAAACTAAAAGGTCAAATGTTTTGTGAAGGGGTTGGTGTTGACCTCTGGGCACGGCTCTACGTGGCAGTCTTTAATGGAGCAATGGCTATCATCAGGCCAGAACGGACACGGCCGCTTCAGGTTCACCTGCAGAATAAACAAACACACTGAGCTTCTGTAGACAAACAGTCAGAAAAATACAGGATTCATAACTCAGCTCTTAGCTGAATAAGACAATAATAAATCTATCAAAATAGAAAGAATATAATGCTTTAAAAAAAGCATAAATGTGTGTGTGTGTTTGTGTGTGTGTGTGTGTGTGTGTGTGTATACACAGTTGAAGTCAGAATTATTAGATTTTTTTTTCTTTTTTAAATATTTCCCAAATGATGTTGAACAGAGAAGGGAAATGTTCACAGTATGTCTGATAATATTTGTTCTTCTGGAGAAAGTCTTATTTGTTTTATTTCGGCTAGAAAAAAGCCGTTATTAATTTTTTTTAAAAACATTTTTGGGACAAAATTTATAGCCCCTTTAAGCTAATTTTTTCCCAATAGTCTACAGAACAAACCATCATTATACAATGACTTGCCTAATTACCCTAACCTGCCTAGTTAACCTAATTACCCTAGTGAAGCCTTTAAATGTCACTTTAAGCTGTATAGAAGTGTCTTGAAAAAGATCAAGTAAAATGCTATTTACTGTCATCAAGGCAAAGATAAAATAAATCAGTTATTAGAAATAGGTTTCTAAAACTATTATGATTAGAAATGTGCTAAAACAATCTTCCCTCCATTAAACAGAAATTGGAGAAAAAAATAAACAAACAGGGGCGCTAATAATTGAGGGGGGCTAATAATTCTGACTTCAACTGTATAAATGTATATATATACATATATATTACATTTAAGTTATGATATAAAATAGTGCAGTCAAATAAGTAATTGCATCCAAAATAAAAGTCTCTATTTGTATAATATATGTTTGTGTTTGTTTATTATGTATACAAATGCAGAAAATCCTAAAATACTACGAAATGTAAAAATATTTGTCATTAAAGATGAATAAACACAAATAAATGCATTGCTCAAAGTAGCAATACTGTGTTAATATATGTTGTATGATAAATTATATTTAATGTAGCACAATTAATATTTCATTAGTATGATCGTATAAGTAAAATGCATATTATTAACAAATAACATCAACAGCAGCGACATTAAAAACTCAAGTGAGTAGCTGCGTCCCAAATCGCATACTTATGCACTATTCTGCGCCATTTTGTAGTATAAATAGTGTAAGTAGTGCGTTCACACTGAAAACTCTAAAGATAATAAGTGCACTTTAATTACCCGAATGATGCACTCATTCAGCCGCTAAAATGAAGTGTGTAATGATGGACACTTCACGCATTCAACAACCGCATAGCGGAAGGGGCGGAGCTATCAGGCGCACATGTTGAATAACTGTATTTATTTTGGATGGTGAAAGCAAAATTCTCCTACGAGAGTGATTATAGCGCCTCCCGATGGTGAATGCGGTTATATTCACGGCAGGTATTATTAAATAATTCGGTCGTTTATTTCACTGATTTGGCAAACGTCATTAGGGAAATGGTTTGAATTTCCACTTAGTAAAAAAACATTAGTGTGCCATTTGGGACGACACTACATACATTTACTATACTGTTGAGTGTGTAAGTGCATAAGTACATAGTGCATGAGTGCATAGTGTGCCATTTGGGACGCAGCTACACACTCCATGACCGCAGGTTTGCTCACATAGCAGAAGGGGCGGAGCTATCGGGCGCACATGTTAAATAACTTTATTTATTTTGGATGGTGAAAGCAAAACTCTCCTACAAGAGTGATTATAGCGCCTCCCGATGGTGAATGCGGTTATATTCATGGCAGGTATTATTTGATCGTTTGGTCATTTATTTCATTGATTTGGCAACCGTGAAACGTCATCTGGGAAACGGTTTGAATTTCCACTTATTAGAAAAACATTAGAGTGCCATTTGGGACGACACTACATATATTTATTCTGCTATTGAGTGTGTAAGTGCATAAGTGCATGGTGCATAGTGCATGAGTGTATAGTGTGCCATTTGAGACGCAGCTAATATTTGTGGTTTGTTATTCATTATCAGTAACTACTAAAACAGAAACAGGCAGCTGGATGATCAAGGCTTTGACCTCATGCCACGTCGACCACATCCATGATTACGAATGCAAGATGCTCAGATTAATATATTCAGACGGTGATTAATCTCTGGATAATTGCAGCATGAACAGTCTCCTGCGTATGATTATGTGAAGTAAGGTCACAGCTGACATTGTTAAGCTGTGTAAAGTGTAAACCTTCAGGACATTAACTCACCTTGTAGTATCGGAAAAAGTCTCTTTCCGTGAGTTTGCGAATGTGTGGGTAAATTTTGAAGTTGTTGAAGACGTCGATGCTCTCGATGTCACAGAAGCAGTCGTCCAAAACGCCTGTCAGCTGCCGAGAGAAAATACCCACACACATTAGCATCATCAAATAACATTTTAAACAGTATATGGTTGATAAAAGGTGATCAAAAGTAATACAAATTCATCCCGGATATTTAAAAATACTATAGTAATTCACATTCAACAGTCCAAAACAGCTGTTAACTGCAGAGGAAAATAAATAACACAATCATTATCAAATTAACATTAAAATCCTCGTTTTATATTAAGCATATGCTTAATAAAACACCCTCAAAAAATAATACTAATTCAAATTGACAGATTTAAAAAAATACTATAGTCATTTATAGTAAATTAACAGTACAAAACACCTGTTAACTGCAGAGAGAAAATTACCACCAAAATAATCATTAACACAATCGTCATCAACAGCAAATGATCATTTAGTTATCATTTTAATCAGCATATGCTTGATAAAACACCCTCAAAAATAACATTAATTTATATATTATTTTATAAAAATACTATAGTAATTTATAGTAAATAGCCCAAAACATCTGTTAACTGCAGAAAAAAACTAACATAATCTTTATCATCATCAAATTAACATTAAAATCCTCATTTTAACCAGCATATGCTTGATAAAACACCTTCAAAAATAATACAAATTCATCCAAGATTTTAAGAAATACTATACTAATTTATAGTAAATAGTGCAAAACACTTGTTAACTGCAGAGAGAAAAATAACACCAAAATTATCATTATCAAATTAACATTAAAATAAAGATTTTAATAGTCGTATGCTTGATTAAAAGTGATTAAAAATAATAGTATTTCATGCCAGATTTGAAAAGATGTTATAGTAATGTAGTGAACAGTCCAAAAAACCCAGAGAGAAAATTAAAAGAATCATTATCATTATTATATTAACAATAAAATTATCATATTAATTCAAATAAGCTTAATAAAGGCCCTCAAAAATAGTATTTCATGCCAGATTTGAAAAAATACTAATTTATAGTAAATAAATAGTTCAAAACAACTGTAAACTGCAGAAAAAATTAACATAAAAATTATAATTATCAAATTACATTAAAAAGTATATGCTTGATAAAACCCCCTTAAAAATAATACTAATTCATCCCAGATTTTAAAACAAATACTATAGTACTTCATAGTAAATAGTCTACTTTGAACTTTACTGTGTGTGTATGTTATAATATTTAATATAATAACTATTTGTTAATGAATGTTGTGGCATGCTGGAGTATTGACGATTATTAAATTGTAATGAACACGGTGATATACTTTAGTCTTTACAGCACTAAACTGCTGTGTATTGTAGAATAATATACCCTATAGTTGTGGAAAACTACCGTATTGGGTGATTTACTGTGTTAGCAACTTTCTAATCACCATATTAGAGTATTAATGACTATATTATGGTTTAAAAACACCACAGTATTCGCTTTAAATTAGTACATTATTTTTTAAATGTAGAATAGCATTGATTACAATATCATGTCAATTTTCTTTAAAAGAATTTGCTTTTTGCAAACAAAAATTCATTAAACTGATCAGTCTACAGTTTGATGTATCCTTAATTAAACGACACAATAAATAACGTAAAATAGAGTATAAATATAGCTTAACTATTTTTAGATGTCGTTAATATTAGGCAAAAGTAACTCTGTAATTTACATTTTATCTAGTCATTCAAATCCACTAATTGAGTCCTCATAAACAGCACATATTCACATCTAACCTGCTCTGAATGCAAAAGTCCAAAAAGTCCCAAAGCAAGCAGAGAAGCCTCGCAAAATCTGCATCTTTCCCCGAACATCTCTTCATAAGAGCGAAAGCGGTTTCCTGTTAAAGTATTGACGCGTCTTCGTGCGGGTTTCAGCAGCTGTCATCACTCATTCTGGGTTTTTATTGCTCCTCCGGGGATCTCAAACTGCTAGAAATGAGCTGTCAAACTCCAGCAACTACCGCGTGCAAATTCAGCCCCACCGCCCCGCCTCCAAACAAACACACGTCACGCAGACACGCCTACAAGCGACGGCTGTAGTTCTTTAATAGCGCACTCAGCGTTGAAGCGAACGGATTTGATAGGGGTTGAAAGACTACAAACTCCAAAACTCCACTGACGCCAGCGATACAAATCGACCAATGGGACAACACCACGCTGAATAACAGAAACTTTCATTTTAACCTATTTTAAATGGGTCACTATATCTTGCAAGCTACATTTCCGCTTAAATGAGCAGTTTAACTGCGTATCATATGCTTCGTCATGGAAAATACTTTCACATTATTGGATTTAGTTAATATTATGTGTGTTTAACACTAATAATACACCTCTGTATGTTAAACGTGCAATATAAATTAAGAAAAATACAAATATATTAACCTGTAATATGATTTTACATACTTTTCGCTGGATATTAAAGGGATAGTTCACCCAAAAATGAACATTTTGTCATTATTTACACTCCTGTTGAACACAAAGGTGTATATTTTAAAGAATATTGGGGGAAACAGCCATTGACTTCATTATTTTTGTTCCTACTGACTTAATATCTGTTTTTTTCCCCAACATTCTTCACAGTATCTTCTTTCTGTGTTCAACAACTAATAAAAGTATAGGGTGAGAGTAAATGGTGGTTCACTCGACACCTACACCAACAATACAAAATAATAAGTAAATATAAATAAGAATAACACGCATTAAGCATTATAAACATGCATAACTTGAAGATGAAGCTCTAAACGCAGAAAACAGCAATGAACAGCGGGCGTGATGACGTCACATTCACGCGACAGTCGAACATACCAGAAATACTATGACAACTGTATCAAAAACAGAAACGTACACATTTATAACATGTTTTTTAATAACTGTAGCGTTAAATAAACTCACATGACATAAGCAGCTCTGGTCCAGCTCGTCCTCGGTGTGTCCATAAACCGGTTCCTTCTGTGTGCTTTTGCTCTTCGCGTTGTTTTGAAACCATCCCGAGCAGAAATAACCGCAGATTAAACTCATTAATATCACGAGCCCGTGGGTTTGTGTCCTGTGTAACATCGCGGATGGAGAAATTCGCGTCCACAAATGCTCAAAACATAAACAGAGGAGGAAATCAGTCCAACTTCCTGTTTGGAGGAAACGCGGGAACTCCCTCGCGAATGTCTTCAACGGTTCAGTTAAACAGACATTATGAAGATGAGGGATGTCGCTGTCGAAAAACACAACAAATAATCAAAACTGTGGAAACTGATGTGGTACAACGACAACGGAAAACGCTACAGGGTGCGAGGGGCGTGTCTAAACACGCTGAAGAGGGAGGTATTTAAGTGAGACGTCAGATGATTGACAGATATGTGCTCCGCCACAATAACAAATATAATTCATTCATTCATTCATTTTCTTTTCAGCTTAGTCCCTTTATTAATCAGTGTCGCCACAGCGGAATGAACCGCTAATTTATCTAGCATATGTTTTACGTAGCGGATGCCCTTTCAGCTGCAATCCAGTACTGGGAAAGACCCATACACTCTCTCTCTCTCTCTTACACACACACACACACACACACACACACAGTTCATACACTATGGCCAATTTGGTTCTCTTGAAAGCGGAGCACCCGGAGGAAACCCACATGTTGCAAACCCCACAAACGCCAACTGGCCCAGCCGGGACTCGAACCAGCGACCTTGTTGCTGTGAAGCTACAGCATCACCCACTGCGCCACCATGTCACTTTTTTAAACAATTTTAATCACGTTTTCGTGTTTTCTTATGAAGTGGAACCCGGTTTAGATTGTTTATAAGCGCTACAAAACACGAGGGCGTGTCTAAATCTGTGGGGCGTTGGAATGGGCGGGGCTTATGTGAGGCGTCAGTTGACCGGTGTCAGTCACAATTAAATTTTGTTGCATTAATCTTGTTAATCATATCATTCAGAAGGTCATGATTCACACTCCTTGAATTAATTTTATAGCTTTATTTCACATTCTTAGAAGATAAAAACACATTGAGGGTATGTTTTCTTGTATCCTCAAAAGTGTGGAAACTGCTGTATATTATTGGTACTGAAAGCGCTATAAAACGCGAGGGGCGTGACTAAATAGGCGGGGTGTTAGAATGGGCGGGGTTTGTGTGGGCGTCAGATGATATTTTTGCCACAATAACTGCGAAATAAATGTATACAAATTTATTTCATTTTTCTTGTATTATCAGAAGTGTGGTGGAAACCGTAGATTGCAGATACTGGAAAGTGCTACAAAACGCAATAGTATGAAGCTGCAGGCCCGGAGACCCAACCGCACGCTCAGACCTGCTCGCTCAGACGGCTAGACCTGCACTTCCAGACCTTCACAGTGCCACCTGCTGTTTAAAAGATCGACTAACCTGATTTCAGCTGCTTCTAAATTGTAATTTAAACTATTTTTCTACTATAAAATATTAGGCTGTGATTGAATAGATTATTATATGAAATAATAAACGTACTAGATTTTTGATTTAATACAATAATTCTATTGTATTTTTATTAATTGTATTTGTAAATATATATTGTTCAGTTGCTTCAATGTTTTTTAAACATTTGTTGTTGTTGTTTTTTTATCATTAAGGATTTATCACTGCTTCGTATTGAGTTGAGGGAATGAATATTATCTTCATATACAATAAATTTCTTCACATACAATTATAGTACTCTAGGTAATTTTCTCACAACCAACTTTATTTTTGTGTACTTTTTCATAAGGTCCTACAAGTCAAGTTGCAAACAATGCATGGAAAAATGGTGAAAAATAATAATTGGAGTAATAATTTTTTTTTTACGTAGAAAATAACATCAAATAAAATAAATGCTTTACATTCTTATTGGGGAGATTTTTCATTTCTAGAGCAAAAAAACTGGAAATATCTGCAGTCTTTGGTACACTGTATTAGTGTTGGCAGAGACCCACTTTTAATAAAAAAATTAGTTTTGATTTCACCTAATAGAGCTCATATTGTAAATTCTATGCAAATTTAATTAATATTTTGATTTCCAAAAAACATGTTTGTAATCATTACATAACTTGTAAATAATTGATAAACTGTTATTGTGTTACTGTTATTGTCTTAGGTAGCACTCTTAGATAGATAATACAGAAATACGTACAGTAGACCTATACAGCACTAAAATATGTTACAAATAATAATTGCGCTATATATTATAGGCTGCATTTTATTTAAACTTTTTTAACTTTAAAGTTTTTTTTTATTTTGCCAGAAAACATTGCTAGAAAATTGTCCCAGAATGGTACAATAATAGATAAAATAAGAGCAAGCTGTAAATATCATAAAATAATGCTCTTTTGACGCAAATTTTGATCAAATCAAACACTGAAATAATTCTTTGTTAGTTTAATATTTTACACCTCATTGATTTATGCCATAAAACTTGATAATTTTCAGGAATCGCTTTAATAATCAATAACCTTATTGGCGTTTCTGATGTTGCTACTTGCTAGAAAGTGCTGGTCTGAGCGTGTAGTTGGGTCTGCGGGCCTGCAGCTTCCCCTTACTCACAAAACGTGAGAGGCGCGGGGTGTTGGAATGGGCGGGGCTTGTGTTCAGACGTTGCACCACAGCAGTTGCAAATGTAAAGGGAACTTTCACTTTCTCATTCATTCACGGGGAGAACTACACTCATGAAACTGATTAGCCCCAAACTAATAGCACAATCCAATAGATGTAGAATAGAATAGAATAGAATAGAATGAAATATATATATATATATATATATATATATATATATATATATATATATATATATATATATATATATATATATATATATATATATATATATATATATATATATATATATTGATAAACACAAGTTTGTTCATTTTACACATTTGTTTTTTATTATTATTATTATGCAGATTCCTAGATAGCAGTAGGAAGGTGACACATGTTTAAAAAAGCTGCTTTTAAACTTCCAAAGTAATTATTGAATATAATTATGTATACAGTCAGTACATCACCCTTATCACTACACAGCCCATAAACATAGAAACATTTAAATAAATAAAATAAGAAATCCTAAATAAATGAAATAAGAAAAAATAAAGAGGGTGGGTGGTGGATATATGATTCAACATGTTATGAAATAAATCAACAGAGTCTCTAAATCAGTGTTTCTCAACCACATTTCTGGAGGACAACCAGCACTGCATGTTTTGAATGTTTCCTTTGTCTATCACACCCATTAAAGGCCTTTCAGTCTCTGCTAATGAGCTAATGATCAGAATCAGGTGTGTTTGGTTAAGGAGACATGGAAAATATGCGGAGCTGGTGGTCCTCCAGCAACATGGTTGAGAAACACTGCTTTAAGTAAGTATTTAATTTGAAGATTTCCAAATGTAAAACACTAGTTTATTGTAATGGTTTTAACGATTTTTAATGTGGTCAATAGGGGGCGCTGTCATACTCCTAAAGCCAAACTGAAGTAACCATATTTAATCCTTTGAGCTCATTGAAATAATCATTGAAAAAACAAACAAACTGGGAGATATTACAAGACTTTTAAACTTTTATGTCTTAAAAGGTTACATTACTTTTTAAAATGTAACTATATAAAATTACATACAATTGTAATCAATGTCAATAGAATTAGGATATATGGTTCTTGGCCCAATAAAGGGTTAAAACTTTTTCCATGAACACGCCACACCCTTCCACCTTTGTTTCAAACGAATCACCTGAGGATTTACAATCATAACAACCGAAAATAAAACCAGAGCTTTAGTAGATTTAATTATCGCACTTTTTTCCTGACGCTGTCTTGCTTAAAGAGAGATGAGTGTACAGGTATGACTTTATACAGCTCTTTATAAATGTTTTAGTACTACAAATGAAACATTGTTTATGTAGACTAAATGACAAAAAAATAAGTCAACAAAAGGTATGTGTAATTGCATATCTAATAATAAAAAATGCCTTTATTTTTATTCATTTATTTATTGGTTACAAAATTTATATGTAATCTATAAAAAATCTATGTGCATTTACCAAATGTAATATCACAAATGCTTAAAATTTAAATTTGTAATTTATTTATTGTTGTCTTTAAGGCGGTATATTGTTTTCTGTTTTGACATTGCCCATGTTTTTCACCACATCTGAACATGCTAGAGGGAAAATGTCCAAACGTGCAGGGAATAAAATGGATTATTGCTCACCAAAAGGTACAGCACTCTTAACTCTTCATAAAATACATTTTATATCTGTAAATTAGCAGGTGAAAAAATTCTATATATATATATATATATTATATATATATATTATAAATTTTTTTTCACCATTTATTTATGCTTTTAACTTGCTTTATGGTATCTTAATTTTTCTTCCAGCAACTCTTAACCTTAAAAAGTTCCAAAAAAGTGACATTTTTATTAGTGTATGGTGCTATATTGTCTGCGTTGGTGTGGTAACTGTTCATTAACAGATATATTTTACAGAAGGGCTGCATGATATTGGTAAAATCTGACGTTTCAATATTTAGTTTTGCCATGATATATATTGCGATGTGAATATAATTTCACTAAATGACTTGAATTCCCTATTTGGAAAGATTTCATTAATTTAGAACGACAGGGATGATCAAGTCCTTTTCTAAGCAGTGCATCTGCATAAATTATAATAAACTACAAGCACAAATAAATAAATAAATAAATAGTCATTTATGGTTTTCTGGGGAGTCTAACAATATTCTAGCTATATAAGTACAGAAATGAACAATCAAATGTAAAATAGCATTGTCATCATAGCATAAATAATAAAAAAATAACAATATTTAGTAATATCTTCATCTTTTACTCTTTAATAACTGATATGATTCTGCGATGTGACTATTGACAATAGTATCCGGTTGCAGCCTTGATGATGAAAGCTGAAATTGCATCTCTCATTAATGCAAATGTCAGACACAATGCACTCAATAGAGCTAGTGAAGTCACTGTGAGAGGTATAGGGTTAGGTGTGGGCATTAAAAATCATTGCATGTGTAACCCCGCCAGTCCTACACCACCCAACCCACTCCGAGCTGGCATCAAACCAACAACCTTCCGCATGGGAGTCGGGCGCTCTACCAAAGAGGTTAAAGACCATGACCTCTTGTGTCTGTCGCTAGAGCACCTTTAGAGGTCAGAGGAGTGAGGTTTACCTGCACAGCACCTACTAGCTGGCCTCCATTACACATATAGCTCAGATTGCATCAGGACCAGGTTTGCATCCAGACCCCTCTCACTATTGTGGATACACACATTGCGATATCGATGCTCAAACGATATATTGCTCAGCCCTATTTTACAGTGTATTATTGTGCAACATGGATCAAATTAATTAGCATTTTTGATTGTTGCTTTAATTTTTTCTATTTTGTCTTCCAGAGTTAAGGGTAGTTCTTCTTGGGAAGCATCATTCTGGGAAAACATCGGTTATCAATACAGTTTTACAAAGCAGTGAAACAGCAGTGAAAGTATCCACAGATGTGAAAACAGAAGGATTTATAGACGGCAGGAGAATCTGTCTGATTGAAAGTCCTGGATGGTGGAAAACCTTTAATCTGACTGATTTATCAAACATCTCCAAACAGCAGCTGATTCGCAGGATTTCTCTGATCTCACCGGGACCTCACGCGGTTTTAATCGTGATTCGGGCAGATCGCACTTTCACTGATACTGATGCAGAATTTCTGGAGAAGAGTGTAGATCTGCTGGGTGAAAATATCTGGACTCACTCGCTCATCATCTTTACAAGAGGAGATCTGGTTAAACAAGAAGACATAAAGCGGAAAATCCAGGAATCTGCGCTCAGTCGAATTATTGGCAAATGTGAAAATAAATATCAGGTTTTCAATAATATCAACCCTCACGACCAGACCCAAGTCAAAGAGCTGATCGGGAAAATTGAGGGGATTGTTGAGAAAAATGGCAAGCACTTTGATATTGACCAGGAAAAAGTAAGAGAAGTCAAAGAGCAGTTGGAGGAAATTCAGACCAGAGCAATTTCTAGAAAATGCAAAGTAGAGCAGCAGCGGAGTACAGTTCAAGAGAAAGGTAAGTGGACTGTAAAGTGATGTTAAATGTCCTGTGAAACGCTCTGAAATATCTTTATTTAATATATCTCAACTGAAACATGAAGAGAGTGTGGGACTAATATTAGCTCCCCCTTTTAAAAACAGCCAATAGTGTTTAGTTTTCTCTCGGCTCTGCCAATGAGAGTGGTTAAGCTCAAGCACATCAAATGAAAAGTTAATGAGAAGAAGGGGGCGGGGCATGTCTGATACTAGAGAGCATTTTTATTGGTAAGATGGTTTGATGAGAAACTAAAGTAATGACAAAAAATCGTTGATCCATTTAGACAGAAGTGACAAGCTTTGGATGTTTATATCAGGTTTATGTCACAGATGTAGGGTGGGGAACGGAGCGATGACTTAACTAAAACACAAAATAGGTACTTATAAATTATAAAAAACAAAACGTAAAAACAGCAAAACAACCAAGAGGGGTGAACGTTAACCAAAACTAAAAGAAGTAAAGTTCGTAGACAAACTTCTGAAAGTTTAAAGTTTTAAGAAGTTTGAAACAGTTGTAAGTATAGGTGAGCATGTTTTTCTTATGGATTGGCCTGTTGCTTGCTAGGCTGTTGATAGGGGGTTTTGAGTGTTTGCTAAGTGGTTACTAGGGTGTTTTGAATGGTTTTTAGCATGTTCTAAGTGGTTGCTAGGTGTTGCTAGGCAGTTAATAGGGTGTTCTAAGCGGTTGCTAGGTGGTTGCTAAGGTCTTGCTAGGGTGTTTAGAATGGTTGTTAAAGTAGTGCTAGGTGTTTGCCAAGGTTTTCTGAGTGGTTGCTAGGCAGTTGCTAAGCTGTTGCTAGGTGGTTGCTTGGGTGTTCTGAGTGGTTGCCAAGGCGTTGCTAGGCAGTTGCTAATGTGTTTAGGTTGTTGCTAAGGTGATGCTTTGTTGTTGCTAGGGTGTTCTGAGTATTTGCTATTTGGTTGCTATGGTGTTGCAAGGTAGTTGCTAAAGTGTTCAAGGTTTTTGCTAGGGTGTTCTGGTTGGTTTATAGTTGGTTGCTAAGGGGTTGTTAGGTTGCTATGGTGTTCTGAGTGGTTGCTAGGCAGTTGCTAAGGTGTTGCTAGGTGGTTGCTAAGGTGTTTCTAGGTGGTTGATTAGGTGTTTTGAGTAGTTGCTAAGGTGTTGCTAGGTGGTTGCTAAAATGTGCTAGGTGGTTGCTAAGGTGTTCAAGGTCATTGCTAAGGTGTTGCTAGGGTGTTCTGGTTGGTTTCTATGTGGTTGCCAAGGCGTTGCTAGGTGGTTGGTAGGGTATTCTGAGTGGTTGCTAGGCAGTTGCAAGGTGTTGCTAGGTGGTTGCTAAAATGTTGGTAGGTGGTTGCTAAGGTGCTTTAGGTCATTGCTAAGGTTTTGCTAGGGTGTTCTGAGTGGTTGTTAGGCAGTTGCTAAGGTGTTGCTAGGCAGTTGCTAACATAAATTAGTTGCAGTATGAATTAGCAGGTTGCCAGCATATTTCTGGCATAAATTAGCATGTTTATAGGATGGTTCTAGTATCAATTAGCATGTTGCTATCATGTTTCTAGCATAAATTAGCATGTTTATAGCATGGTTCTAGTAGGAATTAGCATGTTGCTAAAATGTTTCTAGCATAAATTAGCATGTTTATAGCGTGGTTCTAGTATGAATTAGCATGTTGCTAGAATGTTTCTAGCATAAATTAGCATGTTTATAGCGTGGTTCTAGTATGAATTAGCATGTTGCTAGTATAAATAGTATGTTTGTTAGTATATTTTTAGCATGGATTGGTGTGTTGTTAGAATGTCCAATGTAAAGTCAATGGCGTTTTTTTAATGGAAGTCTATGGAACGGTTGCTAGGGTGCTGTAAGTGGTTGCTAGGGTGTGACTAGTAAGTTGAAAGGTCATCAGTGATTGGCAGATTGGTAGTCTGAGTTAAATGACCCGAAACGTAAGTCTGTATGACAGTCTGGGACAAAGTTATGAGGTCACAAAGTTTGGTCCAATGATAAGTCTATGGGACTTTACCGAATTTTCCGGGTCAGTTTTGGGAAAACCGTGAGTCGGATCAGATGGAAAAGATAAAGCAACTTGATTCAGTATAGTTTGGAGGTTTGGAGTTAGTTTGGTGGTTGTAGTATGAGCGGTCTAGGAGGAAATGCGTTCCTAAAATCAATCAAGATACTAGACAAACGACGCCTAATTGGCACAGGACAGCAGACATGAGGAGACTATAAGCAGAAATGACAGACAGGTGAACATAATAAACTAATAATGGGTTAACAGGGAGGGTTGGGAAAGACAATAGATAGGAGAACATGACAAAGAAAGCAAGACTAGAACACACTGCTAATGAAAGAACTCATTAACCGCGTGTTCACGCGAAACAAAACACTGAAGCACGCAGTTCATGTAAATATAGACTGAGATGAAGACAAAGACAATGACAGAATGTAAATGCTCGAGCCAAGAAAACTCAAGCCGAACACAACATACAAGACATGACAGGACTAGTGTCTGGACTCTGCCACCCAAAACAAGAATTAGCAAACCCGAAGTGGCAGAATCCAGACAGTTCATATCTTCTAAATGTGAATTTTGTCACTGTTCTGGAGACACTAGATAATAGAAATTAAAACTAACAGACTGAAACTAACATCTAACAAAACTTTACTTTAATTCACAATGAGTGCCTCACAATGTTGAGTAGGCTTGACAAATGCTCTAGTTAGTTATGAATAAGTTTTAATTAGCTTTTACGTCCAGTGTTGTGTTTATATTTATGATTGTTTGTTTATGTACAGTAGCACCATGTTCCTGCGAGACACGACATTTAGTTACAAATGAAATGACAATAAAGCTCAAACTTGACTGGAGCTAACTCTAAGTGTGTTTTTATTTTAGCATGTGTGCGTCGTCTTGAGGAGATCAGACTTGTTTTGCTAGGATGGGTCCTCGCTGGAAAGAGCTCAGCCGGAAACATCATCCTTAACCAGGACGAATTTATAACAGGGGGAAAAACTAGAGCAACTATGAAAGGATTCAGAAAGATCGAAGGAAGAAAAGTCAGTGTGTTGGACACTCCAGGCTGGTGGAAGTACTTAGCATCAGAACTCAACCCTGATTTCATTACATCTGCCATACTGGAAAGCATTTCAGAGTGCGAGAAGTTCCCTCATGCCTTCCTGCTGGTGATTCCAGCCGATACGTCATTTCAGAAAGAGCAAAAGAGAATCGTGGAGGAAAACATGTCCATCCTGGGAGAGGATGTGTGGAGACACACCATAGTTTTATTCACGTGGGGCGACAGACTTAGCGATATATCAATCGAGCAGCACATCGAGAGCGAAGGAGAAGCTCTTCAGTGGCTGATTGAGAAATGCAGGAACAGATATCACGTCTTTAACAACATCAACAAAGAGAATCAAGCTCAAGTCTCTGAGCTGCTGAGGAAGATTGATGAAATGGTGGCCGAAAATAGCCTGTTTGTTCTCAACACGGAGAAAACTCCAGTAAAAACCGATGGAAGGGCTGACAATCAGGAAGAGGTGATCATCAGACTGAAGGACTTCCACTGCTTTTTGGATGCAGGGTTTAAGTTAAAAGCGCAAGAAATAAGACTAAAGATTGAAAAGTTGTTCATGCATGTGATGGAGGAACCTCTAAATGCTGACGAGTCCCAGAGTAAAGAGTTTGGTGTCACATTTACAGATCAGAAAACACCTTATGACTCCCATCAACCTCCTAAAGTCAACAATCCACCTCAACAGGACAACAGTAAGTGGGATTTGTTTTATTTATCTATTAGGCCTTATGTATGAATTAGGCTGGCCGACACTCAGTGGTGTAAAATAACAAATTACAAATACTCAAATGACTGTAATTGAGGAGATTCGCTGTATATAAGGAAACTATCTGTTCACCAGGTTGTGTCATTTTTTGGGGTTGACTGCTTGTGTTTCTTTCAGTTCCTGAGCAGATTAAAGCGCTTCTGGAGAGAGAGTTCAGCAGATGGGAAAGCATAATCATAGATGGCGTTCGGGAAAGTTTGCAGGACATCAAGTCATCATTTGGTGAATATGTGCAACTTTACACATAATAGATGAACTGTCTGTGATCTACAGAGAAAAGCCATGCTTAATATACTTTAAACTTTTATTATGGACACACATGCTGCAAAAAATAACACACAAATACTGAAAAGACAAAACATAAACACCTGTTTTCACAAATAACTTGTGTATATATTTATACTATATATATCTATACTGCCAGTGGACAACACACTGCAAAAACTTGTTCCATGCTTAGAGTTTTTCTCTTGTTTTTAGTCCAAATATCTTCAAATTCTTAAATCAAGAAGCATTTTTTAGACAAGCAAAACATATTGTCTTGTCCTCAGAAATAATATGCCCAAATTAATTGTGTTTATTTTTGCTAACCCCATTGTCAGAGTATTTTGCTTGTTTTATTATTTGTCTCATTATTTCTGAAAATAAGACATGTTTTGCTTGTCTAGAAAATTTGTTTAATTTGTTAAACATTGATTGTCAAACTATAGGATAACGAAAGTACTTTTAAATGTACATTTGTGTTGTTAATTATGTAATTTGTTGTCTTTTTCAGAGCTTTCCCAGACTGAGAAGAGGATCAGGTCAATGGATGCTGTTGAGATGTGGCTAGAAAACTATTACCATTATATTGAACATACTATTGATAAAATTCAAGAACCAGAATCAGGGACAAAGAGAAAGAGACTGAAGACACAGTGATGGCATCAGAAACATGACTATTGAAAAGCAAGCAATCATGCATATGTACAATAATTTTGACCTCAACAAATATATATAGAATTTTCTTTTCTTTTTTAAATATTTCCCATATTATGCTTAACAAAGCAAGGAAATGTTCACAGGATGTCTGATAATATTTTTTTCTTCTGGAGAAAGTCTTATTTGTTTTATTTAAGCTAGAATAAAAGCTGTTATTAATTTTTTTAAACACCATTTAAGCTCAATATTATTAGCCCCTTTAAGCAATATTTTCTCGATAGTCTACAGAACAAACCATCATTATACAATGACTTGCCTAATTACCCTAACCTGCCTAGTTACCCTAATTACCCTAGTTTAGCCTTTAAATGTCACTTTAAGGTGAATACTAGTGTCTTGAAGAATATCTAGTCTAATATTATTTACTGTCATCATGACAAAGAGAAAATAAATCAGTTATTAGAGATGAGTTGTTAACACTAGTATGATTAGAAATGTGCTGAAGAAATCTGCTCTCTGTAAAACAGAAATTGAGGGAAAAAATATAAACAGGGGGGCGAATAATTCTGACTGATATATAAATACATACATACATGCGTTTTGGCTAAAAGTAGAACTAATAATTAATTACATATTTACGTTTAATTAGACTAATAATTTTACATAATAGAGTGCAAATAGCATTTGGATTTTTTAAAAAACACCTTATGTTTAATAAAAAAAATCCCCTTTAAATAATATTAATGTTCTCATGCAATACTAATTGTGATATTAATAAAGTCTTATTATTGAAGATGTCTTATACACTCAAATCTGTAAATGACTAACTGTTTTTCAGATTTCCTAACATATCATTGTTTATTATATTCAGTTCTGTTATGAATGCTTCAACACAGGACAATAAATTTGTTAAACAACAACAACAGAAATGCAAACACTGTTCTGTTTTTCACAAGAGTTGAAAAATCTTACACTATCAGGTTCATAATCATAAGGAGCAGCGTTTTTAATGGACTGTTGCATAAACCAGCTGAACAAAAACAAACAAAACAAACTGGTTTAGATCAGGTTTGGCAGGGTTATAGGTAAGTACATGTTCTCTGTAAACAGGGTTTGGTCCAGAGTTTCACTTACTGTATAAAGCTGATGGATTATAGTGTCACAATTATTTTGGTCAATGTGATTATTTAGCATGATTATGATGGGTCATATAACCAAAACATGTACAGTTGAAGTTGAATTATTAGCTGTCCTGTATATTTTTCCCCAATTTCTGTTTAATGGAAAGAAGATTTATTTCAGCACATTTTTAATTATAATAGTTTTAATGACTCATCTCTTATAACTGATTTATTTTCCTATTGTCATGATGACAGTAAATAATATTAGACTAGATATTTGACTAGTGTTCAGCTTAAAGTGACATGTAAAGGCTTCACTAGGGTAATTAGGGTAAAGTTAGGGTAATTAGGCAAGTCATTGTATAACAGTGTTCAATCCAACACTAATATTGCTGAAGGGGGCTAATAATATTGACCTTAAAATGGGTTTAAAACAATTAAAAACTGCTTTTATTCTCGCTGAAATAAAACAAATAAGACTTTCTCCAGAAGAAAAAAAGTTTTTAGGGAGGCTGAATAGAAAACGGGCCTTTCTTTGTTTCTTATAAAAGCTGCATAAGTCAGGAGCAGTGTGATGTTGAACTTTTGTTGTTTTACTCAGTGTTTCCAAACCCTGTTCCTGAAGGCACACCATTTTCAACCTCTCCCTAATCAAACACACCTTAATCAACTCATCAGAACAGTAGAAGTGACTCCAAAACCTAAAATGAATGGGTCAGATAAGGGAGACGTCCAAAATATGTACTGTTTTTGTGTCTCTAGCTTTCGAAACACTGCTTTTATTAATAGCAGCAGGAAAATAGGCCGCTGTCACTTTAAGAGCTGCACGCATTCAATTTACCATCACTCATGTATTTGCATTTTCAACAGTTTGAGTTCATAATACATGACTGAAGACGGTTTACTTGAATAATATTGAGACACTCATGTCACTGTGTTCACAGATGATTGGTTCAGTTTTGTTTTGTGATCTCTAACCCAGTGTAAAACCAGATCTGCAGCAGTTTAGCAGTGAAACATGATAACTCTGAAACCTAGATAACTGATTAACACTTCAGTGCTGGTGAATGACTTTTAGTTTTAATTCAGCAGAGGTCAACAAACAAGTGTGCATTGAATTCATGCATTTCTACTACACCGTAAATAAAAATCTGTCAGATTTACTGTAAATAAACAGCAGCTGTAGTTAGCAGTAGTTTACCGTTAAAATAATTAGACATTTAAAAACTGTATATTGTGTTATTTGTGCATAAGTGTGTTAAATTTGATTGATGATCTGAAACATTAAAGTGTAAGAAACATGCAAAAAAGAAATCAGTACTTAAAATACTTTACTGCTCTGTCCACTTTTGATGTTGAAAATTCAGCTCTATACAGTTTAACAAAGTGACTTATTGACATTTTAGTAGTTTGAGATAATCATATAATAGTAAATAATATGTAGAGAAATAAGTCTGTAAAATAACAGAACGTGCAGAATGTGCTGCAGCTTATTTCAAGGCTTCTGTAGCATAATATACAACACCAAGCCAGATAATTTTGCACTGCACACTAATACACATGCTCAGAAATGTCACTTTTTTGGGGTATATGCCAAAACATGCCAATAGGACTTTTAATTTGCCAGTAACCTGGGTTAAGCGCTTCTGGCGAATTGAATGGCAATGCAAAATCCGGTGCGTTTAAGGTCTGTTTTCTTTAAAAATCAGCGATCTCCACTAGCTGAGTGATATCCGATATAAAGTGGGTATTAGGTTTTACAAGAAGCACTGCATTAAATTACATTTCATTTGCCATATCTTTATAATATGAGCATTTATTTTTACCCCAGTATATTCAATGGAGCTTCTGCGCTAGCCTGCCGATTCTGATGGGTATGTGGAAGTAAACCCCTTTTCGTCTTGTTTTACGCTTGAGCAACTAAATAAATGCTCAAGTTTATTTAACTGAATGTATTTTAATGACATTACAACATCCATGCTGTATAAGGAACCGTATAAAATGGTACAAAGTTCACAATAACAGCTCACCGGAAGTGTATCAGCATGGGAACAGCACTAAATCTCATAATGCAATTCAGAAGCAGAAATAAATGGGGGGAATAAAAACATGAATCATAAAATACGCAAAACTGCTAATTTATAAATATTATTACTGTGTACGCTGTAAAAAAAAATCCGTAATTTTACGGTTTGAAAAAACCCCATAAAATAACGGCCATTAAATCACAGAAATATACCGTAAAATATCAAATATTAAATTACAGAAATTTCTTTAAATTTAAACTTCTGTTAAACCTCTGTAATTTAATATCTTCTATTTTACATTATATTTCTGTAATTTAACGGTTGTTATTTTACGAGTTTTTACCAGCACCCCAGCTGCAGGAAACAAACCGTAAAATTAATTATTTTTTACAGTGTACACAGCTAATGAGGAAAAAAGCTAATAGTTCACACAAACATGAAAATTCTGCCATCATTCACTTATCCTCCATTTGTTCTGAAGAATCCATCTGAGAATCCTTGTAGCAAACTTATGTGTGTTGTTTCAAGAAAGCAACCATTCATTTGTTTTTATTCATTTATTCTTCATTTAATTATTTTATTTATTTAATAGTTAATGATTAACTATTTAGTTATTAGTTAATGATTTGATTATTATTATTGATTATTATGTTCTTATATTTTATTATTACTATTTTCCTATAATTATTCCTTCATTATAATATTTAAATATTGTTATAATCTTATGACTGTGGATTCAAGCGACACTTGTTTTCATAAGTAAGAGATAAGAGAATATATTTCAATGTCTGTTTTGTCTTTGGACAATGTTGTGAAGCAGTAATTTTCCATTGCTGTTGCTTGTGGTATAATAACACTTGTTGGATTTATCCTGGTCAGACGTAGTTTGAGCATTGAATCATCTAATATTATTCAATAAACTCTGCTCTTTCTTTATCATCATTACTTCGTCTCCTGCTTCTGCTCCTGTCTGGTTTTCTTAGTCAACTCCTATATTGACAGTAGAATACCGGTTAACAGGGTTGGGTATTGGAAACTCTGCTGACTTGTTCTCCATATACCTGCAGAAACTGACACTTTCTGACAAGATCTGGCATCCGGGGCTGGATCATATATAGATCTGGCGTGGAGATGGTGGTCTATTAGAGGCAAACTTCTGTGTTTATTTTTTTCTGTTGAACAAAAAGGAAGATAATTTGCAGAATGTTGGAGAAAAAACAGCCATTGACTTCCATTTTTTTTGTTCCTATTATAATTATAATGATTTATAACGCATATTAATCTCATGGGTTATAACACAATCTCTGGCTCAGTGGTTAGCACTGTGGCCTCACAGCAAGAAGGTCGCTGGTTGTCCCGGCTGGGTCAGTTGGCGTTTCTGTGTGGAGTTTGCATGTTCTCCCTGTGGCGTGGGTTTCCTCCGGGTGCTCCAGTTTCCCACATAGTCCAAACACATGTGCTATAGGAGAATTGATTAACTAAATTGACCGTAGTGTATGAGTGTGTGTGTTAATGTGTGTGTATGGGTGTTTCCCAGTACTGGGTTGCAACTGGAAGAACATCCGCTGTGTAAAAAATATACTGGAATAGTTGGTGGTTCATTCCGCTGTTTCGACCCCTGATAAAAAAAAGTGACTAAGCCAATGGAAAATTAATAAATGAATATCTTCAAAATATCTTGTTTTGTGTTTACAGAAACAATACATTCATTAAAGTTTAGAACCACCTGAGTGTGAGGAAGTGATGAGAAAATGAAGGATAAATCTAAAGCTGTGACCTTGTATGAAAATAATAAACTTGAAAAGACAAGAACGACAATGTAGTGGCAACAAACAATGGCATTTCAACATGAGCTAAAAGTGAAAGATAAAAAAGACCTATATTTATATAATATAGGAGCAAAAAAAAAAAAAAAAAAATATATATATATATATATATATATGTGTGTGTGTGTGCAAAAGCCAGACAAAAAATG